CGGGCAGGGCGAGATGGTCAACTGGCTGAATGTATCTTGTTCTATTTATATGGTGATACCAACAGGATAAAAAGGTACTTACTTTGTTTCAGTAAGATTATGATATCAACTCCTCCAATTAATGGAGTTGAAATTATGACGTGAAAAACAGCGTACAAGTGACTGCAAAAGTTGCTCAGAATGGTGGGCATTGAAGTCTTCATTCACCGTTAGTTAAGCTATTGACAGCCTGTCAATTCACTTGAGGTGATTTGGTGACGAAAAAGAAAAAGTAACCTGCATTTTATCTGTCGGGGTATTAAGATGTAAATTTGAAAGAAAAATGACCAAAGTAGACCTCTGTTTTGTGTGTTATTAATGTTGTCTGCAAGCACATCCCTCCTACAGACCTCTGAAGTTCCTATTTGTAGTTAGGTTCATACCTACCGTGTGATATGTAAAATTTGGACAACCATTTGGAGTCCAGTCAGTGCATATATCCTCTAGTGCACATTGCATTTGAGTGTCACAAAACAAACTCAAAGCGGAAGTAATTACGATAGCCAATCAGAACAAAGGTAGGTATCTCAAAGAGCCAATGAGAAGTTCACGTAAAAACACAAACTGCGTAAAGTGCGGGAAAACCTAAGTGACTAAGTCGTAACTGGCTGTAGTTTTATATCTGATTGGTTAAGAGAACGACGCGAGTTTTTTGGGCACAAAACACCCAACGTAATTATTAGTTTCTCTTTACACACAGTTCAGTTTATAGATTGGCAGTAACGTATTGAACGCAGTTTAGGTTGCTATTTACTCTTTCTGTTGTCCGTTGTCTCTTAGGATGATCCAGAACAACAGCGACAGGACAGCTGACAGCAAACAGGTGGACATGGACAATCTTTTTCGTGTGGTGCAGTACTGTGAGAACGTCTCCGAGTGTAGGAGAGTTCAGTTGTTACATTACTTTGGCGAAATGAGTTTTGAGCCGTCCCAGTGCCGTGCTCGGCCAGAAAGCATGTGTGACACCTGTGCTACTTCTGCAACGTTTGAGAATAAGGAAATTACGTCTGATGCGAAGGCATTTGTCGAAAATGTCAACTCCATAGTCCATGGCGGAAACAGGAACTGGAGGAAACCTGTTAAGAACTTTACGTTAAACCATTTTATCGACATATTTAAGGCAAGTTCGAAATGGCAGTCTGGTTGTGTTTTCTGAACGTAAAGAAAAGGGGCACTAATTTCCTTGGCGAGGCTTCAAAATTTTGTTGACTCTCTCTCCGCGTTTCAATCTGAAATATATTTCTCTGTTTTCTTGTAAGTCAAAAACTATAGGGGAACTAAGGGTCTAAATGTTGCAAAGATAAACAGCCGTTAAGATATTTCTTTCTTGAAATATCGTCAGACTTGTGAAGTCAAGCATGCGTCCATTATTAAAGAGGTTTACCTTCTTTTTTACGTTTCCTTGTTGTGATATGTATTTAACATGCAATTGATGGAAAGTTGTCCCATTTCTTTTTTTAACAGTGTTTTCGAATTGCCACTTGGCGTAATTGTGTTGTCCGTTTTAATCCTATTGCAACGCCTATTGGAGAGAGAAAAAAGTTGTCACTTTCTCTCAAAACTGTTATCCGAATGGCGAGACAGAACATCTGGTGGATATGTAGTTGTGATGTCTGTTCGTCCTAATTTTTGTTAAAGCAATCTACTTCAACAGTTCAACAATCCACGACATTTTTGCACGCATGTCTACATACATGAACTTTCTCGTCATCTTGCAGGGTTCAGGTGGTTCCCGTGTGACGTCTGAAGGTCACGACAGATGTTCCCTGTATGGTCTGGGAAAATCCTACCATAGAAATGATGCAGAAAGACTAGGCCACCTATTGATCTTACAACGTGTGCTTGCGGAACATATCATGATTGGTAACCATGACAATGTCCTCAGCTATGTCAAGTTAGGACCCAAGGCTTTGGATTTCCTTCAGGGTCGCGTAAAGGTAATGTTTTTAGTTTTTGGCAGAATATTTAGAATTGTATGATAAGCTGAATTATCCACGTATTCTGAGTGGTTCTTACTTATGATCTATTTGAGGACACAAACACAGATTATACAAAACAGATACGTTTCCGTGTTGCTATACGACTTTCCAGTAAACACCGAAGAACACAGATGACGGCAAAGGGAAGTAAGAACATCAGTGACACACTCGGCTGCGCCCCCTTGGGCCACTTTTTTGTTCTGACTAGATTTTGACATCATCTGTGATCTATTACTGAGCACAGGCACGGCAGCATGGAATTTCTATGTTTATTACATTGTTATGATTGGTGGAATCTTTATTCATTTTCGCGGATTCCTCCCTCCTCCTTCCACACCTTTCCGATTCCACTAAATAGAATCCGCAGCAGGATAAAAAGCATTCCCTACAAAATTCCACAAGCTGCGCAGGAACGAAAGTTTATCACGCCTTTGACAGCGAAATCGTAAAATTACTTACTTATTACTTCTACTTATTTTTTCACGCCAAGTAACAATTTTCTAAGTCAATTAGGGAGACGGTGAGGAGACTGAATCACTAACAAGGTCACTTGACTATTCAGTCCCCTTGCTAGTTACTCTGTTTAATGTGTTCTGTTTTTTAATCGTTTTGTGTTAGAAATGACGCCAAAAAAGTTTGTTCTTAAAAATTTTTCCTTTTTTGGGGATCAGCTACCTCCCTTGCCCGTTAGAGAAAAGGAGAAGTCTGTCAGTAAATCTAAACGGAAGGAATTAATGAATCAAACGTCAGACAGTAACTACACCAGCTCAGATTACACGACTGATACAGGAGACACTTATGATGAGAGCGCCAACCACTCACATTACTGGAAGCAGGATGAGAAGGCTCCTGTCGGTCGGAAGAGGAAACGAAAACCGGCCGGCTCGACAGCAAGGTAATGATCAATAGTTTGGTCAACTCATCGATTTACTCTCCAGACATTTATTTTCAACAGCTCACTTAAGCGTGGTATACCCTTTCGAATAAATCAAGTCAAAGCTTAAATGTAAACACGGAGAAATTAAATGCCATTATTTTTCTTAAGTTACTTTTAGAAATACTTTCATTTGTGCGGTAGGACCTCGTAAAAAACATCATTTAAAACAGACGAGTTTGTCTCTTTTTCATATATTTCCCTGGGAAGTTTCCAGTTATCCTTTTTCATCTTCAAACATCTTGAACGTGGTGTATTCTTAACTTAGTCTCACAATCAATTTTTTTGTTACGTGATAGGAGAATTATAAATCTCAGTTTTTAAAAAGCCAGTTAGTAAGCCAGTAGTCGATCAATCGAGTCTTATTTCGGTCTTTGCCGTTATCAGGTCCAACTCAACTTCAGGACCAAGCAAAGGTACCTTCTCCTCCGCACAGCAGGGAAAGAACAACTTGAAAAAGTTTCGCCGAAACAATTCTGAAACAAGCTTTAATCGTAAAGGGACTGATCCCGGGAATCAGAGGAGTGGCCTTGCTCTTATGGCACCTCCTCAGCCAGCAAAGCGGTTTACAAGGTGACATAAAACAGATTGGTTGGAAAAGGAATGTATTCACGAGGTATTTACACAAACCTCACTCGGGGCAGTGGCAGTTATGCTACACAAATGCGATGCCAATGATTCATTTGGACATTATTTTGTGTGGCGAGATGTCCTGAAGACTATGCACAATGCACGCTACACCTGTTTATAAGGTCAATGGCAATATAACTTGGAAGTTCTTCGATAGATAGTTTCATTTCTCTCATTCTTCCAGAATTAAAAGAAAAAGGCGTATATCACTGGTATCTTAAATTCATTGAGTAATACAGTGGCACCTCAGAACACCGGGTAACTTAGAACCAAATAACTATGATTGCATGAGATTGAGCAAAGTAGCGCGACAGAAGCGAGCATGTCAATGATTTTCCACGCCTGAGGCAAATTATTGATTAGCGGGGCAATGACGCTATCGAAATTGCTGATTCTAGTAGTATGTAGGACGCGTGTCATAAGAACTTCGTAATCTGAGACCGCGCTTACCGTAGAGTCTCTGTGGCTCAGTGTTAGAGCATCAGAGCGCGTAAACCGAAGGTCTGAAGTTCAATTCCCCATTGGAACTCAGAATGTTTTCTTCGTCCCACGCTCGTGACAAGACGAAAAACATCTTTCTCCAATGACAAATAGAATACGGTGAGCATGCACACAGGAAGTAAGAGTTTTGTTGGGTTCAGCTAACGGCAAATCTGGATGATTTTTGCGTTCAAAATCTAACAAGTGCATCCATTACTCGATATACGTACTGCTAAAAGCAGTTCCAATTTTAGAACAGACGAAAATTTGTGCGACAAAACCGCGTACAGTTGCGAAACTAAAGAGGTTTCAAAATGCACGCTACCCCTTCTATTGCTGGTTATAAGGTCAATGGCAATGTAACTTGGAAGCTCCACGGTGGATTGTTCCATTGATTTTCGGTAAGTTTAGCAAAAGGAAGTTGCAGTTTAACTTGATAATAACTTAACAGCTGAAATACAACCGCTCACGTCTGGTTTTAAACGGACAACTATATGCGTGAATGTATAGGAGGGAATTTCTTACCCTAAGAATGGAATAATTTAAAGGTTTTCGAATTGCCAGAGTTCTAGGCGAGTGGAATTTGAACATTTCTTAAAACATTTCACGAAAGAGCTTGTGGGGTATGATGAATTGATAGATCTTGATGTTGTAGTTATTTGCTGGTGGACTCTTGGCCACTGACAAGGAAGATGAACTTTCCGTTAAAATAATATACCTTGGCCTTGCTATATTTTCCATTCGACCTCAAGCTCCATTGTATGACGCATATCAATTTCTTTTGTAAAGCTGGAGTCATGGCTACAAAGATAAGAGAGAATGCCAAGATACAGTTGAATAGGGCTACTTGAAGAAGTTGAGAAAGTTTGGGGAAAAAAATACGACAACGTTGGGCACAAAGGAAAGAATTGACAAATATGCACGCACACACACACACGTCACTAGTTACTCTGCTCTGTATTCCTTTATTCTGGTGGATCAAATTCTCCAGCGTTAATAAACAGAACAATTTTAAAGTTGTTACCTTGTAGCTGTTAATTAAGATAGCTTCCGTAATCAGACTGAGAATCAGACTGAGAATCAGACTTAAAGCTGACAAAGTACTATGTTATGCAATTTCCAAAATTTTGTTCTCTCACTCAAACTGACGTTTTCTTGGAGCCTGTAGCTTTTTTCCCCTACGATACTGTGTGTTACAGAGAAAAACATTTTGTATGGGTTCAAGGGAATATGTATTTTTGGACTATACTGTATTTGCATAGAGCGCTTTTCATTTGAGCATCGTGAAATCAAACACAAAGAAATCAAATAGTAGTCAAAAAGCAAATCAAACAAAGTTATCCACAGGAATCAATCAAATGCAAACTTCCTGACGTGCAAAACACGCGAATGACTGACCAAGTCGCGATTGATTTTAGTTTTGCATCCAGTTGGTTGGGAAAGTGGTGCTAATTAAAAAGCAATCACAGAGCGAATAGAGGCAGAGCTGGTGCAATCCCACATTACTTTAACATTCCTCGAAAATCATTCTTAGGTGATAATAAAACTCCCACAGCACAAGTGAACGATTTCAATAAAACTGACGTTCCCGTTTGACCACGACGTTTCTCTATCCCATTTAACAACTGCCAGAAAAGATATTTCTGTGCGTGATAAACTACACGTGAATTTCCACAACGGCTTGAATTTTGAGACTTCAAAGTGTTTAATTCCCTGTCGGAATTCCAAAGTGCTACCTTCGTCGGGGGAAGAAGTCTTCCATGAGAGACTCGACTATGGAGAACAAGGATGGTTGTGGGTTTGAGGCATTGCCATCCGACAAATATGGAAACGATTCTGCAAATAGATTGAATTATAAAAAAGAGCGTTAAGGAAATTCACCCACAGATAAACAGTGGATAGCATCAGAGGTGCGCTCTGATTGGCTGTTCTAACTCCGTTGCAGGAATAAATGAGTTAATCATCCCTGTGTCATATCATCTCACTGTTTTAGTAAATACCGAAACAACTATTCACCCCAGTGTTGGCTAGCGGTGGAGATTTACATCGGCACATACTTCTACGCCACTAAGCTTTAAAAAAATATTTAAGACCGGAATTATCAAGGTAAAGGTGATGAGTTTTGAATGTAACCCCAAAGCTGATCTTGTAGTTCACAGCTTACTGAAGAACAATTAAGGCCTCCTGCACTGATAGAGGCAATAATCACTTGTTTGCACACAAGTGCTTACCACTGTTTACGTTAACTGTATCTTCCTCTGTCTCTTCATTCCCAGAACTGTCTTTTCTCCTTCTAATAGTGTGCAATTCATCACCAATTCTTCGCGTTATTGTCACCTGCAGAAAATCAAGCAAACCTCGTAAACTACTATACCAAGAGTAGGGTTTGGCAGATGTAAGACTTTTAAAGGATAATTAGGTATGCTTCAGAAATCAATTTCTTTTTCTGTGCCAATTGAGAAATATACATATTAATTTACTTCTATTTACCTTCTTGACTGAGCAGTTCCTAATTATTCGATCAAAGTTGTAAACGAAGGGAAAAGGGTGGTTGAATCACAGGTACATGGCTAGGTTGCTAAGCAGTACTAAAAATGGCCACATATGAAGTGAAATTTTTGGCACATCTTTCAAAAGTTAGGCTACTCTTTTAGAATCTCAAAATGTGTTTGGTGTCTTAATTTCATAATTTGTTTTTATTAAAACTTTCTAGGGCATAATCATCCTTCAAGGCTTTGGTCTGCAGGAATAATGAATCACATCCTAAGGAGAACAAAGATTACCAGTAGTAAAATAAAGCAAAATGGGAGGAAAGAGTAAAACATAAACACAGTTAGCAAAGTGTATAAATTTCACCTCTTCTTTCCCACTAGAATCTCTTCTTGTGGTTTTTGTTTCAGAAATCTGTCAATAAGAAAAAGAAGATAAATACTTTGTTTTAATGTAGCCACTTATCCTACATCTGAGACAAGAGAGTATGAAATGATTAAAAACAGTTCAAAAACACAGAATTCTTAACCTTTTCACACCCAAGATCTCCTTAGTAGTTCACCTCACTGTCTATCATAACATTTCTTATGAAGTTAGTTAAGAGAATTTGGTATTGGATCAACTAATAATCCCCTGATTGATGTTTTTTCTATTCCCATAACTTGTTTGCTTGGTACATTGTAAGGAGAAATTCTGTCTTGGTCACTCATGAGAGTTAAAAGGTTACTTGTAATTAAATTTTACACAGAGTGGCTGTGGTGCAATCACCAAGGCAATTTAAAATAATCTCACAAGATATATCTGGAAACATAGTTTTAGAAGTGACATTTAAGTTCAGGTCTATGTTAAAAGATGACAAAATTTAAGCAAGACCTGTGTACAACAATCACAAACAGAAAGTCAAACACTCCCTGTGGATCATTTCTGCATGAAAAAAAGCAACAAAAACAACCACAACCAGGTAGAAAAGCATTGTGTCTAAAATTTCTTAGTGTTTTCCCAAGGATTTTCTGAGGGATTCTAAAGTAGTTAGTAAGGGTATTTTCTCTCCATACATTTCCACAGGATAGAAACCTTATTCTGTTGGCAATTAAATTACAATTGTCATTTTATTAGTCTCCTCTTAATCACTTGTCACAAGGTAGGATACAGTTGAATTCCAAGAAACAACATGGGTGCTGCCCATGAATTCACAGTGTAGAAATTGCTTCAAAAATTTCATTGAACTGTGGTATAGCCTAATAGAGTGTCACACCCTCTCTGGACTGTCAGACACATTAATCTCAACAATTTATAATACAAAAATAACATAGGATGTTGACCAACAGAAGAAAATATGATGAAAGTAAATGTCATAAACAAATCTGAAAAGAATACACATGAGACAATTAATATTCTACTTACACCATTTGAATCCATAATAGTTACACTTGAAAAAGAAGATGATGATGATGACGACGATGATGGTGAGATATGCCTTCCTCCTTGGTTATTCTCCCTTGGAGCAAGGATGTCATCCAAGCTTTGGGTTCCCATTTCCACTTGCCTATCCAGGTCTTAAAAGAAGTAAAGGTGAAAAAAGGGTTAAAGATGAACTCCAACCAAGTGACCCACCCAGGCGGAGCCTATCCTGGTTCTACTAGGGAACGAACAACTGGGAGTATTGCTTATTTTGCAACTATGGGATACTAGGGATGCTCAATTTAAATTAAAAAGTCACTTCTCTCTGAGAAGCCTCCCTCTTGAATATACCTACACCCCCAATCTAAAAGCTTTGGAAATCAATAACACCCCCCTCCCCCCTCCAGTTGAGAAAGTTTTCAATATACATGTACAATATTCTGCCAATTTGAGTTTCTACACACCTACGTCAGCTCTTTGATCAGGATGCCTCATTCCACCAAATGGTAATTTCCATAAATCACCAAACTGAAAAAAATGAAATAGGTGTTGGAAATGCCCAGGCAAATCTGAAACATTACAATAACCATCCTTCTTCTCTTCCAACTGGCAGTTCTGACTGTCAAACTCAAGAGACCAACAGATAGCTGCAACACATTTGCTATGTCCTTGGTGAAGACAACCAATCCCAACTGAACAAAGTTAATGAACAAAGTTAATTCCATTCTTTAAGAAATCTACCAACACCATTTAGTAACATGTTGTATGATCCAGTCCCCTTCCCCTTCTAAATGCCCTTTTGGATTAAAAAATATCACCTATCAATTGAAAATGAACTTTGCAAACTTTTAATTTAAAGTAAACTGACTGACATTGTTTCTGTGTGTAGCTTGCCTAACACCAGTATGATGGCTAACTTATATTTGCACCCAACTTTATCATCACTAATTATTAAATAGTAAGAGTTTCATTGCTCCCTCCCCTTCCTCCACAAAGCAAAAGGACAATTTGATAACACTAGTGTGTTGTTATTTGACTTACCAAAAATGAAGAAGGAGGAGAGGGAGGACCATCCAACTGACTGCCTCCAAGCTAAATCAAAGTAAAACATAATTATACAGAGGTGTAAGAGATGAGACAATGGAAGTTATTGACAGCCCTTTCTAAAAGTAAAAGGGGTACATTCTTACAGAAACTATGGTGTGCAACAAAGAAAGGGGTTGTTATATAATTTGGTTTTATCAACAGAGTTGGTAATATAAATTGGCTACTGTGAAGATTTTCTAACGCTGACATTCTGACATTCCATTTTGCCCTGACAAAGGGCTATAGCTTGAAATGTCAGCTTCAGAAACTCTCTATGGTGGCTAATTTATATTATCAATTCAGCTGATAAAACCAAATTATTTTCCTTCAATTATTAAGTTTTTTGAAAAGTACTCTACAGGAGTTAAGAATTCCTCTTACTAATAGTAACTCTGACTAACACGACTGAATCAGTTCAAAATTAACAATTGTAGTTGAGTGTGAATTACCTGATCAGGGAGGTCATCATTGCCATGAGGTGTATCAGGGCCTTTAAGCATTCTATCTCTTAGGGATTTGGGGCGTTGAGAAAAATTTTCCTGTGGCCTTTCTGACGGTGAACCTGGTGGTAAGGCTGTTATGGACAAAACAAGGTTTAGAACTTACTGGTTGCTAGGGTTACAAAAACTGGATGGTGAAATTTCCTTCAAAACACTACACAAATAAAATTACAACTTACAAGAAACTGCCACAATTCTCATCAATGAAAGTGAAATATCTATTAATAGGTTCCACTACTGTGAAAGCTATTTAATGCAGAATCCAATAAAATTATAAGCTATTTTGGTGTTTTCTCCTCAGAGGTGAATGAAGCCTGTAAACAGCAAAAAGACAGAGTGCCATTCTATCAAATTAATTGGGTGTCAGGCTTAATATCTGATGAAATGTAACTGCATGCAGAGTGTTAATCAAAAAAACCTTCAGTCTGTTAAAATGTAACAACATTTTCCTGTATTCCTATAAATTTTTTTATTAGATCTGTCAAGTTCTAGCATTAAAAAATTTCAAGATACATGTATGTTGCATTCTACCTTCACCAAGAGGAAAATATTTGATTGAAAAATTGCCAATACACTTCATCAGCTCCTCTATGCTGAATTAACATTCAGGCTAAAATATTAATTTCACAGCACTCAGTCAACTGTACATGTACACACACTCATTAATTCATTTCAAGACAAAGCACCTTATCATAATTGTATTTCAATTTTTCTTCTTCTAAAGGTTTAGATGCATTTCAACTGATCAACCAATTACACAACGAAATCCTTGTAAGATTGCTTTCAGGGAAAGCGCAACTTAATTTAAGGCAAAATCAAAAGTGGTGAAAGACTGCTAAACAAACCTTGGGATGGTGGATTAAAATCCCCAAGAAATCGTTCAAAAATGTTCTGAAACATCTGATCAAACTCCTGTAGGAAATCACCCTCACTGGAATGAAAAAAGTGTTCAAGATCTCCCTGCTCTGGATTATGTCCACCATATATTCTCCATTCTTCGTGATAATCTGGAGGTTCTACCTCCAAATGAAGCACTGATCCCCTTCCATAAAGGTTATCAAAATCCTGTTGAATTTCTCTGGATTAGGAACAGTCAAAAATAGAAATTTATTTCAAGTTGATATATTTGGTCTAATTCTTGCATTGCATTTGTAGTTCATTATAATTTATCTAATGACTAATCCACAGACATTCAGGCTACGGTTTTTAACAGTAAAAACAAAAAACGAAAAAACAGAAAACTATGATTCTGGCCAAGTACGTCTCCGAGAAAAAAAAGTCCACACGTTTTTATTTCTTGAAAGTGAAACCACCATACGAGAGAGAGTAATACGATGCACGAATTTCTCATTAATTTTATGGGCTTCTACCCACCTTGGTAATTCGTTTGTGTCGAGTCGCTCTTTTGGAGGCCCAAATAACAATCTGAAAATCTCAGTTACACTCGGCATTTCCTTCAAATGCACATAGCTGGTCCACAGGAATATTTCAATTCGCTTGTTGATCAAACCTCGTAAAAACCCAAATTAAATTCGTCATCATGATGTTAGTATATCATGTAAGTACACCTATGTTGTCCAGTGACTCTACATGAAGCGTTGACCGATCAATATTCGTTCCCAGTGTCCCCACAGAGTTTGGTAATAACTCGGAAGATGTTGTGAAGCTAAAGAGTACTGAGTTCTCTGAAATATTTTCTCTTAAATATCTACTTTATGAAAATCAGAATGTAAATCTTGAATGTAGATCATTGTGTACGATCTCAAGGGCCCTTATTTAAAACCATCATGGCGACTGCACGTAGCTCCACATCCTCCAAAGGAACAACGCCAGTTTCTCCTTTGTCGCCACGTCATGGAAACTCTAAGACAAGTTAGTTTACGATCCTAATTATCGACCTTTAGATGTTTAAATTGTTAATTCTGCGCTGCTATATAGAGATGCTGACTCGTTTATTTTATTGAACAGTTTCTTGGGATGCTGAAGTGGACAGTGATGCACTCTTTTCCAATCATACAGTTGAAGAGATTCGAGCAGTTGAACATAAAACAAGGTCAGTCCTCGAAAACATCAGGGAAAGCACTACAAGTACTTGTCAGAAGCATGTTATATGCTTCTGTACTAGTTGAACTAATTTGTTCAATTTGTAAGTGTTTTCTAAATCTATTAGAGTCTCTGTACAATGCTCCAATTCTTGCAATAATCAAAATCTTGATGATAATAACGATAATAATAATTCATTTTTCTTAAAAAGAAAAGAACGATTATGATAATGATAGTATCAGTGATAATCAATATGAAAATGATGACTATAGTTATTGTTATCTTTATATGGATTAACCATTATTTTTATTAATCAATTATTAATTCAATGATGCTAGGTATCAAAGAATACATGTCAACATTTTTATTGTGCTTGTACTTGTACTAGAAAGCCAATTGAAAATAACACAAATGTGTTATAAGTAGAATGATAAATCCTTTCTTTAATGGTTATAAATGAAATACTCTCAGTTATGTTTGCTTTACAGCTCACCAAATATCTCTAACATTCAAATCATATGTTTGAGTATGAAATAAGATACCAATTTTTTTTTCAGGGGTGACATTGAACAAAAGAAGGAAGATCTGCGTCTCATGGTTGGGTAAGTTACAATAGGAAGTAATAGAACTACAATAGGATGTAAAAAAAACTGAAGAACTTAACTCTTTAACTACTAACTGTAACATTCTCTCCTCCAGCTTAATTACACAATTCCTTGTAAATAAGTTAGGAGAATTTTGTGTTAGATCAAGATAACAGCTTCTACCAGATAAGTTTGGGTATTCTTATTTGTTATTTGCTGGATAATGTATAGATATAATAGGGAGAGGTTTCATGTTAATCACTTCTGGAGGTAAAGGGTTAAACTCAAGTGAAAGCTAAATTAACATTTACAAAATTCTGTCATTCACAAAATTCTGTCATTCAGTCAATAGAAAATGGGGTTTCTGGTGCATTTTGAAATCAACCTTGATTTCAAAGTACAGTTTTTACCCATTTTGAAATCAAGGTCGATCTCAAAAGGCAACTTAAATTTTTCATAGGTGAAAAATATTCACACCCTTTTCACAATGTCTCACTTGTGAGTTCTGAAGAGGGTGTGAACATCATCATCTTGAACGATCCTCTTGTCACACCATCATTGTAACATTGTGTACAGCCTAGCCCACCAACAAATTCACTAATAAACACTCAATAAACTGACAATGTGCAATTTTGAATTGCCTTTGTGAGAAATCGGATTTCAGGACTTTAGGACTTCAGGACAAGTACTTAAGATAAAAGTTATGCTACCACAGATAATATTATTTTGCTGCCTGAGGTGCTCTCTAAATCATAGGGAATATAATCTTATTGATGAAAAGCTCATCAAAGCCCTCTTTTTTCATTTTTTAGAGAAAGATATCGTGATCTCATTGATGCTGCTGATACAGTCACTGATATGAAGACATGTGCTGGCCAGGTGAGCATCATTTGTGGTGATTTTAATATCATCTGAACACATCTTGTCTTTTTCATCACTTTTGAGAGAACTCAATTCATATAATGCGCTGAGAAATATGAAGCTTCAAATTCCCTTCTCCCTGCAACCCATGGGCATTTGACCTTCTTCCATGTCTGGGGGGTAGGGAATTTGAACCTTGCCTGGGTGGGGTAGGGAATTGTCTAGTCTTTCCTTAGAGGTGTTTTAAGGTAAAGAGTCTGCTTTTGTGAGCTAATGGCTCTGAAAGACATTGTCTTTACATCATGTAATGATGCTTACAAGTAATTCACCCAACAGCAGCACCAAAAACTAATATATGACTTTGAAAAATTTTTCAACATTCAATCATTCAATATTGGGTGTCGCATTTGAACACAATTTTGATGGGAGGGGGGGAGGGGGGGAATTTAAATAAGCCAAACTTCAAAAGTTGATATGCCGGGTGGGGGGTGGGGGGGATGTTGAAGTTTCAGATTGATAGATGCATAACACTTAAAGAAATACAGTGAATTGCTGAATTTTGGGTAATGTGGTTCTGTAATGAAGGAATTGAACTTACATTGAAGAAAAAGTCAACAGGATGTCCTTTAACAGTCAGGATACTTGAAATTCACTTATCTGGGACTTAAGACAATGGTCCCAAGGTAAACAATAATCTGTAATCCTGATGGCAAATACTTACTTTAGAGGACCAGATGATCCTTCTTACGGTGACATGTATAACATTTTTGATTTTTCATACTGTTATATGTTCATGAAAAATTATTTTAGGTTCTCTTTAGTTGGTTTGTAGTATGACTCACCCAAGCTCACCTACACATTGCTTTTGATTTTTAATTACACCAACTCTACATTGTTTTATTTTTTGTTCACCATTTTGCCAAATACCTGCACCAGCTATCTACAATGTTCACATCAGGGATGTAACCTCTGTTCTCTTTGTAGATCATGAACTTTGTTCAGGATATTCAAAAGCAATGCAAGGACCTTCATGTGTCTCACAAATGCTATGGGGTGGGCGGTTCCCAGGCCTCTAGTACCACTGACAGAATGTAAGTGTTTTATTCTATTGACAAACATCTCATTATCCAAGAATAAATAGTAACATATGATCCAAAGCCTGAGCAACTCTGTAAGTAAATGGATTTTGGTGTGTCAAATTCCTTAAGAATAGATGGATCACCAGTAAAAAAATTTTTTCATGTTTTATCATATCCATTCATTATTACTACCCAGACTTAAACAAGAAGTCCTTTGCAAATAGCAATGAAAAACAAATTGTTATTGACTCTTTCCAAACTTAAATCTTCATTGTGAAATTTTAGTTAGTTTATTGTTGACTATTGTAATGAAATTGTTATAGTGTTACATATATTAGTATAACATGCAAATGGACCTAAGGCTGGTACCCAAGGGATATTGATACCTACTTATATGCATATTTGAGTTGCTAGATTACTGTTGGAGTGTTAGTATGTTGTACAATGTGGATTTGGAAGTAAAGCTTGTACACTGTTGCCATTTGGTTTCACTTGTTATTACAGCAATGAAAACTCAGCATGTGACTCATCACTACCCTGCTAGTATGAACATATATTATGTATCTTTGATACAACACTTAAAATGGCTCAGTGATGGTTGTAATAACCAAAGTTCTTTTTAAAAATAATTTTGTAACTAAAAATTTGAAGAAACTTGTTCAAATAACTTTGAGTAACTTGAATTTAAGGGCCAGGATTTACTACGTTGGTTATTGGTGACTTAATATGTACATGTAAATACAATTCCATGTGAGTGGGTTCTATCAAAAAACTTGTCAATATGTACTCCTGAACCATTAGACATTTTCTGATGATCATCTATTGGACAAAATATACAGAATTGTAGCAGTCCTACCGATACATTGCACAGCTGCAGTGTGCTTCTTTACTGGTTGAAAACAATAAGATTGCAATCATTTTCGCAGCTATATTTGCTGTACAGTGTACATCTACATCATTTGTACTTTGAAAAGCACATCACTGTACAACAATGAATGCTTGCCTGTTCAGAGATGGTGCACAGAAAAGTTCTGTGACAAACAGAGGGCATGGACTTGTGCTAAGTCCTTGTGGGGTTGTTGTCAGAACAGTTTAGAGAAGTATAGGATACATACTATGTTTTATAAGTATGAATATTTATGTGAATGAATTATGTAAGTTATAGAGACAAAGAGCACATATATAATGTATGTACAGAATACAACATGCTTTCAGGAAACTTACCAGTATCTGATTTCAATTGCATTTCTCTTGTTCCAGTCCTTCACAATCTAAAAGTGGTTTCTATGGAATTGCTTCTCAAATGAAGCTTTTGGTGGACACCCCAGAGAAGGTCCTGCTTGGTTTGAAGTTTTTTTTAATGGTGTCATTGTGAAATAGAATAACTTTCAAGTACATGAATTTCATTTTTATTCTCCGGCCAATCTGGGCATGTAGTTGCTCTTTTTACTTACATCAGTCTCTAAGCCTAATTTGCTGTTGTCTTAAAACTTTTTAAACAGGTTTGGAGTGCATTGGAAAGAAAACAGTACCTAAAAGCAGCTCAGTTGTATCTTTTCTCTCGTCACATTGTCAGCCTGCTACACATTGATACTGGAGACACATCTGCACCTAAATTACTGGTGGGTATTTTTTTTTCCATTGTTACAATGCCACTGTACATCTCTTGTATACACAATGAAAGATATAATAATTTCCCCCCACAATGCTCTAATTGACGCATTTTGCTCAAAATGTTGTACTTTTAACACCCAAGATCTACTATGTAAACATTCCACTCTGCACACTGCATAATGTCTGTCACACATTTCCTATAATTTTTGGTATGACATTAAATGTTTTCTCTTAGTTGAAAAATTCTTCATATTGTTGCCTTTTTGATTGGAAACTCTAGCCTAAGGGGAGAAGGGATAGAGTGCTGGCCTTGATCCCCAGACTTGGTGTCATGTGTGGGTTGAGTTTGTTTTTGGTCCTTGT